CAAATCTGCCCCTGTGGCTCTGCCTAGTTGCTGCAGCTACAGTAGTGGCAGAGGTGATGCCTGCCTGCTAAGCTTTGCTTCCTGCCTGCAGGTGCCCGTCCCATATGACGGGACCCCGTTGTGAGGAGCAGATTGTCAGTCAGCAACAACCTGGGCGTAAGTGCTGGGTTCGGTAGAACCACTGAGATCTGGTACAAGGGCTTTGTGTCTGCCATCTTCCCAGGCCTCACACTCAGTTTTCCCATGTCTCTCTGCAGATATGGCCTCCATCCTGATTCCTCTGCTGCTGCTGCTGCTGCTGCTTCTTGTGGCAGGAGTGGTGTTCTGGTATAAGCGGCGAGTCCGAGGGTGAGCCACTGGGAGTCTGGAAAATCCTGGCTGTTATTTTACAATCCAGTAACCTCACCAACATCACTGTTCCCTGACTCCTGCCTCTCCCCAGGGCTAAGGGCTTCCAGCACCAGCGGATGACCAACGGGGCCATGAATGTGGAGATTGGGAACCCCACGTACAAGATGTATGAAGGTGGAGAGCCTGATGATGTCGGGGGCCTGCTGGATGCTGATTTTGCCCTTGACCCTGACAAGGTACACTGAAGGCCACTGAAGGGGCTTCTGGAGCAGGGTCTAGGCTGGGAGTGGGCAGGGCAACCAAAGGTGTTGTATTGGCTGTGGCACAGAGGCGGGAGCTAGGGTATTCCAACCATCTGAACCGCCTATCGTTTTTTACAGCCTACCAACTTCACCAACCCAGTGTATGCCACGCTCTACATGGGGGGCCATGGCAGCCGCCACTCCCTGGCCAGCACGGATGAGAAGCGAGAACTCCTGGGCCAGGGACCTGAGGACGAGATAGGGGATCCCTTGGCATAGGGCCCTACTCCAACAAACATCCCCTGAGAGCCCCACCAACACAGATGAGTCCTTCAGTTAGCCTCCTCCCCAGCTATCCCTCCTCCGGCCCTGCCGGATGTACAAATGTAAAAATGAAGGAATTACTTTTTATATGTGAGCGAGCAAGCGAGCACAGTATTATCTCTTTGCATTCTCCTTCCTGCCTGCTCCTCAGCATCCCCCCATGTTGCCATGAGGGGCCAGGGAGGGCTCTGTGGCTCAAAGGTCTGAAGGAGCCCACCTACCTTCCCTATCAAACACACCCCTGAAAGCCAGTGGTACAGCCTTCTGCCGTGCAAGACACTGGACAAGGCTCCTTGTCCCGGCTTTCTCCTCCTCAGCTCTCTGGGGGTTACTTCTGGGGAGGTGGAGTCCTCCGCTGACCCTGTCTGAAAGGTTTGCCTCTGGCTGAGGTAGGAAGAAAAGAGTTGTTCTTGAGGGAGGTCACCCCAAGCCCCAGCTCCCACTTTAGGGCACCTCTGAGACCATGCTTCCAGACAAGCCTTCCCCTCTCCAGCGCCCCCACTGTGGCCCCTAGGGCTGTATACATTCTTTGGTAACTGTCCCCCAGCCTCCACTCCCCTGAGGACCAGGAAGAGTTGGGGCACACCAAGGAAGGGCAATCGGGCAGCCCCATTTTGGGGACATGAACGTTTTAATAATTTTTGCTGAATTCCTTTACAACTAAATAACACAGATATTGTTATAAATAAAATTGTAAAAAAGAAAAAAAAAAGAAAAGGAAAAAAAAAAAACCCACCACTGTGTCTGCATGCTAGTGTGAGACTTTGGGAGCTGGGACTGTGTTTGCCTGTTTCAGCCGCCAGAGGGAGCCTTGCTAGAGGCCAGCCTGAGAGTCCTAAGGTCCATGTCTCCAGCCCCACTCCATCCTCCTGTTTTGCTATGGCAGAGAAGAGCTGCTTCTTTTGGTGTATGACCTTGAGCGTTTTCAGGACTTATGCTGGTTGTAGCTGGTGTCCCCTGGCCCCAGCATGCTGGCTGGAAAACATGTTTCATTGCTTTATCTTCTCACAGTGCAGCTGTCCCCCACTGCCCCCAAAGTGAGATCCCCCCAGAAGTGAGTACATTGTGTCATAAAGGCCTTTAGGACAGTCTGCTATAGCCCTCTGCCCCAGGCTCCTTTTGAAATGTTGAAATGTTGACATCTCACTCTGATCCACGAGTAGAACCCTGTCTGTGCCCCGCCCCCCGTGCCCCAGCAGGATGGCTCAGTGGATAAAGCACTTGCTGTGAACCTCATAGCCTGAGTTTGACCTTGGAGTCCATGTAAGAGTGGGCAAGATGGGGCTGGAGAGAGGGCTCAGTGGTTAAGAGCACTGTTTGCTCTTCCAAAGGTCATGAGTTCAATTCCCAGCAACCACATGATGGCTCACAACCATCTATAATGTGAACCAATTCTCTCTTCTGGCAGGTGTAAATGCAGATAGAGCACTCATATACATAAAATAAATAAATTTAAAAAAAGGAGTGGGCAAGAACCCACTCCATAAAACTGTTCTCTAACCTCCACACTTTGCCACACACACCCAGAATATTTTTTTTTTCAACTAAAAAAACCTGGATTAGTGGAGGAGCTAGAATGAAGGAGAGTGAGACTCAGTTTGTCAGGCCCTCACCAAACACTGCAGGCATTCCAGGAGTTACCAAGAAAAGACTTCACCATCTAAGTTATCCCAAATCTCCTTGACCATCTTCCAAAGGGGTGTGAACCTCTCGCAGAAGGTTCCGCATCTTCACATTGCCCAGGGCTGAGGGGGAGGGAGGGTCAGAACCCTGCTCTCCCAACAGCAGCAAATAATGCCTCCCAAAGGAGCAGCCTAGCTGCTGACTCTCACTGGCTCAGCTTCCCCAGGGTAGTTCCCCCTCACTTCCTCCCTTGGGAGGTTTATGGTTAGAAGGACATAGAGAGACAAGACCCCTCCTTTTCCCTCCTCCTCAAGATGTCCATCTCCAACTTTACCCCTGAAGTCTTCAGACTCAGGCTGATCTTCCTCAGACTCCCTGGGGCTCTGGAAAGAGCAGCCCGCCCCCCCCCCCCCCCCGGCACAGATATTCCTTTCCTGTTGCCCCCCCCCCCCCCCGGGAGCCACTGATTCTCTGCCTGTCACCTCGAGATCCTGGTTAGAGCAAGATAGGCCCCCAGCTGCCACTTAGAAAACACACTCCTTTGGTTAGCACCCTCCCCCTCCCTGTCAGGACCAGGAGGGTCCACCTCTCCCAAAAATCCACCCAGCCAAGAACCAAAAAGACAGTGCAAAGGAGCATAGACTGATGCAGAGCTAATGAAAGGCAGATATTCTCAGAAAGGGTCAGGGAGAGGGAAAGGCCCAGATAAGAACTGCACATGTGTGGTCTCTCAGAGAATCAGATGACCAGTGATTCGGGGGAGGGCCTCAGGTCTTAAAGACGGAGACTACCTTTGCCTTCACCCAGTACTAAAGCACCCCCTGTGGTGGGGGCAGCCCTGGATTCCTGTTGGGGCCATTTGGACTTACTCCTGACACTTTGACCCATCCTGCCTCTATTCTTCCAGCCCTCACTGCACCCAAATTGCTGTGTTCTGGTTTTTGTCTCCATGGGTGTCACTGAATCCTCCTTACACCTCAGCATCCCTATCCTTTCCCTTATTCTCCTTTTGGTGTCTGTCACGTCCTATATGTGTCTGTCTGTTCTTTTCATATTCTTAGGCTCATCTCTTGGATTGCCAGTGTGTGTGTGTGTGTGTGTGTGCGCGCGCGCGCAGCTCTGTGGGTATTTGCCTCTGTCAAAGCACGAGAGTGCTTTGTGTAGTATCCTGCCGTTTATGCATGTCACTGTGTGGTCCTGTGTGTATAAATCATGTGTCCATCTGTGTGTGCCCGTGAGCCTCCGTGTGCTCATCTTTCTGGGGATGTATTTTGTTCTATGGGTGCCCTCACTGCTACAGTATCCTGCTACTGTGAAAGTAGGGTATGCCTGGAGAGATGTCTTGGGGTGTGGGCCTGTCTTTTTAGCCTTGGCTTGTTCCTATCTCTTGCTGTCTAGGTGTTGGTCATACCACCACCTCAGCCTCAGCCACAGCGCATAGCAACAGCTGACAGCTGAAGACTCCCTGGGCAGGAAAGAGACCAGTGGGAGGAGGAAATGTGAAGAAACAGCCCAGAGGATGAGAACAGAGACAGTGCTGAATCTGGGGACAGAGACAAGGACAGAGTTAGACAGGGAAGGGGACAGGATGAGAAGAGATGGGAGTGAAAGATGGGGCTGTGAGAGGAAAATACAGGACTGTACCAAGAGGCTGGGCAGACTGCACTGATGACTTTCTGCCCAGCCCCCATGCAAGGGTGCTCTGGGCTGGGCAAGGGTCAGCAACGCAGGTCGAGGGGCTAACTTAAAAGAGCTAGTCTAGCCAAGGGGTCCCGGCACCACAGAGGTGCTGGGGGGCGGGGGGCGGGGAGCCGGGCGCCGTTTGTCAGCCCTATTGACAGACGTGATGGGGTTTCCGTCCGTGATCAATGATTCTCATCTCCAGGCCGAATGAGCCGCGGGGCGTCCATCCATCCCCGTCACCCGCGCTTGGTGGTAGACGCCTGAGGCCCCTCCCTCCCTCACCTCGGCCCTGTCCCACTACCCCAGACCTACCTCGGCCAAGAGCACGGCAGCCCCCCCACCCCTCCGCATCTCCCCCGCGGGTTTCACAGGACCCTGGTCCTGCCGCGCCGCCCAGCCTGGCCGGGCTCCTGCTCTGTGATGCCCCCTTCCCGCGCACCGTGGGGCTTCCCGTGGAGCCCCACACCCTGTCCTAACCCTCATCAGAGCCGAGATCTGGCGTCTTTGGGGCGCCGCCCCCAAACCCTACGACCCTCTCCTGCTTCACACCTGAGCCGGGGCGTGTCCCGGGCGTGTCGCGGTGAAAGTCACCTTCCGTGCCCCCAGCTGGGCGGGAGGGGGCGCGCGGGGCGCGGCCGGGATTGGAGCACCGCGGAGCCCCGCCCCACCCCGCCCGCCGGACTCAGACCCAACTTTCTCCCCCGCCCGCGCCCCGCCCCCAGCGCCGCGCTCCGCTCCTCGCTCAGTCCCGCGGGCCGAGCCGCCGCTTCCCGCCGCTCGCGCCGCCGCCCGCCGCCCGGCGCCCCTCGCCCTGCGCCCAGTCCGGCCCGACCCGGACCCGCCCCGCCCGACCCAGTCGGCCGCCCGGGAAGATGCGGCTGCTCCCGGAATGGCTCCTCTTGCTCTTTGGTCCCTGGCTCCTTAGGAAGGTAAGGGTGGTAGAGCCGAGACGCGGGGTCCGAGACACGAAGAGCCTTGCGTGCTAGGGGGCTCCGTGCGTCCGCCCCGCCCCCAGCACTAATCGTCCCAACTTTGTGCGTCCTGGGGTGCACCGACAGACAGACTGTCCGCCTTAGGACTGGCACGCGCCCAGCGCAAGTTGGCTGAGGGTTAGAAGAAGGTGCGGGGTGGAGGCCGGGATCCGATCGGCTTCAGGCTCGACGGGGGAGGGGACGAAGCGCGACCCGAGAGTGCGCCAGACAGAGAAGGAGTGCGAGACAGACAGCTAAGCCAGCGGGTGTTAGCTTAGCCTTCTTTCCGCGCCTCCCTAGCTTGCCTCCCTCTGTCTGTCCTTCCTTCCAGCCCTCACCCTCTACCTTCCCGTTTCTCTTCTCCTTACTTGTCACCATGCCAGGTAGGCTCTGCGAGCCGAGCAGACGTCGCCCAGGCACACGCGCTTCCACGGACCCACACCAGCAGGGCTGAACTTGCTTACACTCCCCATCACATCTCCCGCGGAGACACCATCTCCCCTGCACAACCTCGCAGACACACCCCTCTCTCGCGCCCGGTGGACGGGGGGTTGCTGTCTGGGAGGGAGTCTCTCCTCCAGCCTCCTCCCTGCCCCCACCTTTCTTCGCTACCTCTTTTCCTGGGGTTTCTAGATGAAGACCCAAAGGCTAAGAGAGCTCAGACCTCACCCTGCCCGGACCCTGTTTGAGGTCTTCGGCCCATATGCATGCTGTGTTCATACGTGCCGCTGTGGAGTGTGTAGGTTAAAACCAGTTCCTGCGTGCTAGCAGGCGTCCGGCGAACCACGCTTGGGGCTGAGCACTGGGGCCCAGAGTGAGTGTCTGTGGAGTGCACGGTGATACTGTCGTTGCATGGGTGACTGTGCCTTCACAGCACAGCCATCTAATTGTGCCATGGTGTGTGATTCACAGGGTTGTTTAGACCGTGGCCCCCGACTGCCATTCCCAACTGTGACCTACCCAGTTTAAGGGCAAGCAGCTGGCTCCGCAAGCCCTCACTCTTGGACCTTATCACCAGCCCCTGAAAGAGTCCAGTAATTCTCTCCAAAACACTTGGACCCCAGCCCCGATGTGATGTCCTCAACAACACCAGGAGGGTAGGGACTACCCCGTGAGGTATTAGTAGAGTCCTCTGATTCCCCCAAGCCCCCACCTACTGACCTTGAGAGAGTGGACGCTAGGCAAAATTATTTATTAAAAGGAAAGAAAGAAAATAAGGGAAAAAAGCCCCCCATGTAAAAACTGCTGCCTCTGGCAGAAGCTTCTCTCGAAATTGAGGCCTGGATTTACTGTCTGGGAGGCAGTCTTCCCCCAGGAAGGCTGCAGGAGAGGGTCAGGCCCAAAACCACAGTGTGTGCTGGCCTGGGGTCACCGAGGAGGGGAGAATGCCATTGCCTTGACTCCCACCGCAAACCCACCCCCATCAAATTAACTCCCTGACGGACAAATCTGCTTTAATTTCCTTTGCCCCCTGAAGGGGAATGAAACATCTGGCAGAGACTTGAGGGAGAGTGAGCATAAGGATATGAAAGGTGGGGTGGGAGTCTAGCTGAGAGAGAGAGAGAGAGAGAGAGAGAGAGGAGAGAGAGCCGCAGCTCTGGGTGTCGGTGGTGGAACAGTAGGGGAGTGCCTACCTGCCATTTGGTCCAGCCTGTGCACAAGTGAGTCTGTGCTTATGCACGGTGTGTAAATGTGCGTGACTTTGCACGCTATTGTGTAAAGACATGTGTTCTCACATGGACTTGTGGTAAGATGGTGCACATGTGTAGCTCCTCAGGGTCTCTGATGTATTTGCATGCTGGAGCACATCTGTTATTGGCATGGGAGTCTGGGTTTGTGAGTGAACATTTGTGTGCTCATAGCTCTGAGTCCAGCCGGGTGTGAGCACGGACTGTGAGCCTCAGACGTGTTCGCCTGACTGTGAGTGTGAATGTGCACCCCTGAGCGCGCCTGCTTTCAGGGACATTGATGCTGTGCCGGGAGTGGGCTAAAGGTGAGACTAACACTGGCTCAATTCATAGAGCAGCTCTGGGACATCTTGACCATCTTTCCAATACTGTCTTCACCCCCTTTCTCTCTGAACCTGCCTTCCTTTCCCCTTACCAAAGCAGCTGCCTACTGGGAGAAACAGCAGGCGATCAATAGTCACTAATCACTAATTACTAATCAGCTGGGGGAGGGCAGGGGCAGGGACCCTGCGGGACCTTTCAGCTCTATCCTGCCTCAGGGAAGGATCAGACATGCTAGTCTCTCCGTCTAGGCCAGCTACGGCCCTGTGCCAACCACTGCCTCCCAGCTCCTCGCCCTCCTCGAGCCCCCTAACTAAGCTCTGGCTGGGCCACTTAGGCACGTGCAGCTTAAGCTTGGTCCCAGAGCTGCTGGCTGGGATTTGGGGGTAATCAGGGGCCGCAGCTGGGCCAGGGACACTGGAGGAGGGGGTCTACAGTCACAGTTCCCTTGGGCCACAGCTTGCAGCCAAGGCTCACAGCCCGAATGGGAGGGGCAGCGCTGGAAAGGAGAATTTACAGAGAGGGTCATGATTGGGCTGGATAAGGAGCTAGATGGGGATCTAGGAGGAGGTAATGATGGAGATGTTTGTAAGGAAGCAGAAGGCAGGTAAAGAAGAGTCACTGGGGCCAGAGACCCACAACTGGAGAGTGGCAAGATAATCTTTGAAAGCCAGCAGGTAAGTGGAAGGACCCTAGGAGATTAGTGAAGGGATAATTAGCAGGAACTAGGGAACTCTGAATAGAGAGAACCCAGGAACTCAGTATAGGCCTGGGCAAGGGATCAAGGTTAACAGAAAGGCTCAAGCTCAGAGGGGCTCCCAAGATATACAGTAGAAGCGACCTGGCATGGGGAGCTGGAAGTGTGGCCTTGAGCACTGGAAATTGGCGACTCTCCCCATCTCCCCCTCCTGCCCCTCCTCCACCTCCATCCCGTCCACTCCCCCTCCAGCTCAGGCTTCGGGAAATTACATCCCTGCTCCACGGCTCCCCCCACCCCCACCACCTCGCCCTGGAGCCGGCGCCTTTATAGGCACATTTATTGCAATAATAAAGTGAGGCGAGGGGCGGGGGGTAGGGGTGGGGGCGGGGGGGCAGCTGTTCCCGGGAGGACCGCGCCGGCTCTACTAGGAAGCAGGGAAATAAAATAAAATAAAATAAAATCAAAATTCAGATAACGGTGAGCCTTGCGCAGCAGGCAGCGGGCAGGCAAGCCGGTGGGGCTGTCGGGGAGCGGGCGATCGGCCCAAGGACAGAGCTCACCTCACCAACAGGCCCTCATCTTTGCTCTGTAGCTGGAAGAGGTACCTTCACCTCCACTTGCCTGGCCCCCTCCCAAACTCGATCCTGGCCTTCTGCCTCTTCCTCCACCTGTGATGACCTGTCCTCAGGCTCTTGTCTCTATCCATATTGCCTATCACTTTCCAGTCCCCCAATAGCTTCCCCAAACCCCATCGCCTACGTCTCTACCCATGAGCATTCTTGTTTTTGCCTAATAACCATCTCTATCTCTCCCTTTCTGTTCTGCCCTATCCCGTCCCCATCCCTGTCTCATCCTCATGCTAGCCAGTCTTTAGTGCCCATTTGTCATTGAACATGCCTGTCCCATTTTAGCTCCCACCCTCTTCTACATCCCGTGTTCCTTCTTCTGGTCCCTAGCCCATGGAAGTCCAAGTCTCTGCCCAATACCCAGCCACCATTTGCAACCCCTTCATCTTTGTCCCCATGTTATCTTTTTACCTAAGCTTCTTACAGCCTAGTACCCAATCCTAGTTCCTGTCTCTGTCTGCCCTGGTACTCACCTAGGCTTGTCCGCTTCTGTCCCCCACCCCCTCCTCCTGCAACAGCTTCCAGTCAGACTTCACCCCACCCTGACCTGACTGCAGTGATGATTCTCTACTTGTGGGCACTCCGTATGCTATTGCTTCCTTCCCCAAACACAGGGTGTTCCTCCCCCGATGAATGATGAATCTGTAAGCTCTTCCCTGACCCAAAGGGAAGAGAGAAGCAATGGATAGGCTGGAGGCCCAGGAGGGTGCACCCTGCAATGCAGCTAAGGGGGTCTGACAGCCTGATTCTCCCTCTCAGGTCCCAGCCGTCCTATTCCCAAAGAGTCTCTGCCTCCCCCACCTCTTGGTGGGGTTTGTTTTAGCATTAGGAGATGGCCTCAACTCCCCCTCAGGTGTGTGGGCCTGCTGCCTTGGGGCAAAGTATTCTTGGCTGAGTTCCTCCGGAATAGGCCCCAAAGAGTGTGCTGTAAGCCCCCCCAACCATGACACCACCACACACCTCCACCTCCCACCGAGGATGACAGCCAGCCGGCCAGCCTCTCCCCTCTGCAAATGTCACGGCGCCCAATTAGTTTAATTAAACCAGCTTTCAAGTTGGGGGTCCCTCCTTAGTCAACACCCTGCTCAGGCTCTCAGTCACGGCGGGGGGGGGGGACTCCGGCAAAAAGGAGATCCCTTGCCACCTTCCCCCCCGCCCATCCGCTGCTGGAGACCGACAACCGGGCAGGAGAGAGCCATGGTTAGAGAGACAGAAATGCCACTGGGGGGGGGGGGCACTCCCCAGACTGGAAATTAGACACAAACTGGGGGAAGAAACGGAGACAGAGAGATTGAAAGAAGAGTGGGGAAAGAGGGAGAGAGAGAGAAACAGTGGAAGATGAGAGTAAGAGAGGGAGAGAGAGCGTGAGCAATCAAGGAAGCCAGAGGGAGGATTTTATTTTATTTTATTCCATGTTCCCATTTCTCGGCTCGTTTCCTCCCAGACTCTCACCCCTCCCAGCCCGAGCGCCCCACCCCCAAGGTCGCTTCAGCTGCCTATCCCCCAACTCTTCCCTTTTATCTTAGCTGTCTCCAGCAGTGGGTGGGGGCTGTGGGTTCCAAAGCCAGGGATTTGCCAGGATCACAGAAGCAGAGACAGCAATTTGCCTGAGCTCAGAGGTGGGGGACAGCCTGGCACCTCTGTCCTGCCAGGCCTCATTTCTACCCATCTTTTCCTCTGAGGAGAGTGAGCCTACAACCCTGAAAGACACTGGGCTGGCTGCAGGACAGAGAGTTCTAAGATGTCCTGGGAACCAGTAGCTGGAGGCATTTGATGTCCTAGGATAATGCTGCTTGATGGGGGGAGAGAAATGGGATGATGGCCAGCTGGAAATAGGAAGGGTTTGGTCCCCAGAGGCAGAGATTAGGGGGTAAGACTTTCACTGAAACCTCACCCACTCCTACCTCCAGACCCCCGACCCTGGGCTCAATTCCACCCCCTGGAGCTTCCTCTCTGCCTCCCATCTCCATTTTAGGCCTCTTTCCCCAGCCCTACTCAGGTGCCCCCTCTGGGTGCTAGGTGCCAGCTGAAGCTTGTCTGCCTGAGTCAATCACTCTTGCTGCCTCCACCCCCTCACCTGGGTTGGGAGGAGGGCTGGATGGGAGAAGGAATGAGGGGGCGATAAATATGTATGACTAGCGGGTGGCGGCAGCATTAATAACCTAGGATCGCAGCGCTGCAGGGATGGAGACCAGCCAGTAGAGATTCTAGCCCAGCTCGGCCATTCTTGTCCCTTGTCCACACAGTGTATAGACTCCGATGTGGTGTATGCAAACAGAGGGGGCACCCATGCTTTTCAGGCCCTTTACCCTTCTACACTCAGCCTGCAAACCAGCATCCTGTCATTCAGATAGAATTTGTGCAGGCTGGTGTGTGTGTGTGTGTGTGTGGCACACACTCTTGTGGTATGAACAAAGACCAATGTCACTGTGTAGATACCCCTTAGAAAGACCCTGACACAAGGACACCTCTAGACAGTCACACAACAACTCTGTACACAGGCATACAACTACCATAGCTACACACAGACCACTGCCACAAACCGACACAGACCAGGACATACAGAGAAGCCCCCAGGTAATCCAGGCACACATGCACAATGCACAGGCAGCTACCTGAAAGCAGATGGGGACTCGAGCGCTCACACACACACACACACACACACACACAGCCTCCTCAGGCTGATATACATGGGCACACAGACACATACACACAGAGAATCAACACAGCCACACACAGCCTTCACAGACTATGTACAAGCTCCTCCAGACAGAACCCATGGACACAACTATTTCAAGGTAACACCCCCCCACCCCCACACACACAGCTGCCTCTCCCAAGGGACTTGCAGGCAGTCAGGGCCACGCTACCGGTCGTGTCTAGCTCAGGCTGACTGACACTGACGAGCTCTGCTCCTCTCCCTCCCGCTCACCGCTCACCGTGCTGGAGCAGCATCTCCATATTTCTCCCTCTCACTCTCCTGTCGCTCTCTCCCTGCTCCTTCATTCCCAGCTACCCCCCTCCACACACCCCAAGATAATTGATGGCCCAGATCTGATCCATCTTGTACTCGAATCTGCTCTGTCTCCCAGATCCCCTGCCACCTGAGACAGGCTGGCACCGGCACCCTGGGCAGGAAGGGTGACTCCTCCAGCCCTTCCAAGCCAAGGGGTTGGGGACAGGAGGAGTGCCCGCCCCTTTATTCCCCGAACCTCAGCCCATGGTCTGGGATTTTCTCTGCTCAGTTGGGTCTTAGAGGCCCTTCCCGGAAGGAGGAAGAACAGGATGGAGCTGGTCTTTGCAGAAACCGGGAAGATCTTCCTATCTCTTTACTGACGCTGGATGTCGGGGTGCAGACGTCTAGGTTGTCCAGTTCAGGCCCGTCTCTAGGAACATCAAAGGCCAGACTATCCAAAAAGGGCTTCTCCCTTTACCCGCCCACACCAGAGCAGGCTTTGTCTTTATGCCCAGCCTGGAGCTCTGTGACAACCCAGGGATCATCAGGTCATTTCCCAGGTGTAGAAGCTTGGGTCCAGATACATGAAGTGACTTGGCCAAGACCACGGAGCTTGAAAGGGCTACAAGACCTGACCCCAAATCTACTCCAGAGCCACCACTGTGGGCTGCCCAGTCCAGCGTGTCTTCTCTCTTCCCACACAGGCCGTCGGTGGCCAGATCGCGGAGTCCGGAAGGCCGCAGTACCTGGAGCTGCGTCCCGCCATGGCCGGAGAGGGCGCCCGCGGCCAGCAGCTCCCATCGCCCGGGTCTTCCGAGGGCCTGGGCACGCCGCGCTCCTGGAGCTGGGCTTGGCCCGCCAACCACACCGGGGCGCTGGCCAAGCCCGGGGCCGCCGGCGGCCTGCCCGCGCCGCGCACCAAAAGGAAGCCATCCATTAAAGCGGCCCGCTCCAAGAAGATTTTCGGCTGGGGGGACTTTTACTTTCGTGTGCATACCCTCAAGTTCTCGCTGCTGGTGACCGGCAAGATCGTGGACCACGTGAACGGTACCTTCAGTGTGTACTTCCGTCACAACTCGTCCAGCCTGGGGAACCTGAGCGTCAGCATCGTGCCGCCCTCCAAGTGCGTGGAGTTCGGGGGCGTCTGGCTGCCGGGGCCCGCCCCTCACGCCCTGCAGTCTGCGCTGGCGCTAGAGGGCGTGCTTCCCGGGCTGGGGCCCCCTCTGGGGATGGCGGAGCAGAAACTGGGGAGCAACCTCGGGGGCGCGCTTGCCGGCCCACTCGGAGGCGCGCTGGGAGTGCCCGGGACCAAAGAGTCGCGCGCTTTTAACTGCCACGTGGAGTACGAGAAGACGAACCGCGCCCGCAAGCACCGCCCGTGCCTGTACGACCCGTCGCAGGTGTGCTTCACTGAGCACACGCAGAGCCAGGCCGCGTGGCTCTGCGCCAAGCCCTTCAAAGTTATCTGCATCTTCGTCTCCTTCCTCAGTTTTGACTACAAACTGGTGCAGAAGGTGTGCCCAGACTATAACTTCCAGAGCGAGCACCCCTATTTTGGATAACGCCCCCATCCTGGGCCCTGAACTTGTCACCAGATCACAGCCTCACTAGGTGGGACCCCTCCCTGTACCCCATGCTCCTGTGACCGCCCCCACCTCTTCCACTGTGGCTAAAGGGGAGGAAAGCAGGCTTCCCCGAGACTGTCAGCCAGTGTGGTTCTCCATATCCTTGTGGCCCCGAGTGTCCCCGAGGCTGGGGTAGTCTCCAGCGGCAAATTGGAGAGGCAAGAACACAGCAGCAGAGCAGGCGAGGCCTGGGGGTTGCTTCGGGTTTCCTAGGAACACATATTGGCTCCCGCTTCTGCCCTTCCCGCCGCTTTAAGGACCCCTGCCCTGGCACTCTTTCTTTCCCCAAGCCTGGTCCTACCCCACCCGACTGTAACAGTCTGAAAGCCCCAGCCCACCTAGCCCCCTCCGGTTCTTCTGTGCCCTGCGTCAGTACCCCTTTCCTCCCAACCTGGCTGAAGCCAAAGTCTTGACCAGGAGGCTCAGCCTGGCCCCTGCGCCCTGCCTCCCTCCCTTCTTCCCTCCCGCGCCCGCAAGGCCGGCCCCAGCTGCCCTATCTGGCTGCTTCTCGGTGATAATTTTTTCAACGCCAAAACACACGGAAAGGGGAACAAAATAAAACGAAATCCAATACTCGTCGGTGTGAGACCTTTGTAGGAAAGGCGGGCGGGCGGGCAGGTATGGGGTTTTGTCTGGTAAAGGCTGAGCCAGGCCTCTTTCCTTGGTGGCTGTCGGGGAAACCGAGGTAAACACTGACAGATCCTACACCTCGGAATTCATTCCAGACCTGATCAAGGAGTGCACAACCGGTGGGTAAGTGTCCTCCCCTCTGGGTGGGGATTATCTAAGGTGAGTGAATGGTAGAGAAGGTAAATAGAATGGGGGTTAGACCAGAGGTGGGACTTCCGGAGACTGTTTGGATGGAGATTTGGGGGAACGGAGGTTTAAGACCTTGAACCAGATGAAGAGGCAGGCTCCGCCGGGCTGGAGGGAAGGGGAACAGTGTTTGGTGTTTGCGGCATCTGGAGTCATCGATCTTCCTTTTCCTTCCTAATTTCGTGGGCGCTGAGTTTGCAGACGGATGAGGGAGGGAGGGAGCATTGGGACGAGGGGCTGGGGGAAGGGACGAGCTCAGGTTTGGAGGGCGGGGCCGAGTCCCGGCTGGTAGCCGCTCGCAAACAGCCCCCTTCAGCCAGCTGCCCATCCTTTCCACCCCCGCCTTCAGCTCCCTCCCGCAGCCTTGGCTGCTAATTTTATCCACCCCCAACCCTGGCCCGGGCGTTAATTGGCTGCGGCTTCATTAGTAGTTCTCAGCTCAGCAGCCCCCCTCCCCTTGGGACCCCTCTGACTGGGTCTTGGGGTGTGTGCAGACAAGCTGAAGTACGGAGAGAGAGCCTCTTCCTTTTCAGCCCGGCCCAGTAAAGGGGCTCACGGGGAGGAGGGCAATGTCCAACACAGGCTGGCCCACAGCTCAGTCGGACACTGAGTTAGAGGTGGATCTGGCCCCGACATGCCTGGGAGGAAAAAATGGCACAAAAGAAATATCTGGCTGTAGCATGCGCTGGATTCAACGCACAAACAAATACAGGAAGGATAAGAAGCAGGTTGGAGTGAGGAAGAATGTGCTGGTTTCCTCATTAAGGACCTACTGTGGCAATCACCTGGGAGCCTGAGGCTCTAGAAACTCTAGAAAGAAGGCTTAGATGAAGTGACATAGCTGAGGCCTCCTGTGAGAGCCAGGTGGGAATGCTTAGGGTAACAGTGACAGGAGTCAGCCTGCTTGGGTCTCAGACCTGCAACTCTGTAATAAAACAGCACACATACATGAGACCCTAGATTCTATCACTAGCACTGAAAAATAAAAGAAACAAAAAACTCAAAATGGACAGGCTGGTGTGGTGGTGCATGCCTTTAATCTCAGCAATCTGGAGGCAGAGGCAGGCGAATCTCTGAATTTGAGGCCAGCCTGGTCTACAGAGGAAAGTCCAGGACAGTCAGGGCTATACAGAGAAAGCCTCTCTTGAAAAACAAAATCAAAATAATAAAAAATAAAAATAAAACGAAGCAACAACAACCCTCTCATAATGGTGATTGTATCTCCTCCCATGGCTTGTCCTTCCCTTCCTATCATTCTTCCTCCAAGGCTATGTCCTTCTCCTCTCTCCACTGTTCCTCATTCATCTGGGTGTGTGAGAGCAAGGTGAAGTGCTGATGTTGCCACTGTTTACCTCTTCATGGCCCATCAGTCAGTGAGTCCTTTGTATGTCCAGGGCTATGACATGCCTAGCATGGCTCAATGTCTATTGAATGAATAAATGTATAAGACGGCTATGTAGGCCAATGGTTCTCGAAACCACTGTTTACTGGATTCCCCAATAGTGGTTTGGTTGTGTTTCTTTGAGAACCACTGAAGTAGAGGCCTTAAGAAGGCCAGGTGGTGGCGGCACACACTTTTAATCCCAGCACTAGGGCTAGCCAGAGAAACCCTGTCTCATAAAACCAGAAACCAAACCAACCAACCGACCGACCAACCAACCAAACAAACAAAAAACCTGAAACAAGGAAGCAAAAAACAAAAAGGAAAGGAAAAAAAAAAAGATGTCCCCAGCTCATTTATAATCTTCCCTTGGAGAGGGCAGTGTATGCCCCACTCAAAGATTTACTCAGTTCAGTTTCATGAACTCGGTGACTGCTGGGGAATAAGTAATGTGTAAATAAGTAATGAAATATAGTAAGTTGACAAGAGTACAGGTAGATGGCCATGGAGGGAGTAGGTTTGTGAGTCAAGGGAAAAGGACAGCCACAGAGGAGCATGTTCTCCTGCAAAGTTTCATGTAACCCCTTCCACAAGCTCTTTTATGTGTTAGGATAAGGTGTGACAGGCTCAGGTGGGCCTCTGGCCTCTTGCTTCATACACAGCTGAGGCTAGCCTTGAACTCCTAATCCTCCTGCCTCCACTACCCTAGTGCTGAAATGACAAGTGTGGGTCATCACGACTCTCATGGTTTTATAACTGAAGAAACTGAAGCTCTTTTGCTGTAATCCTAAAGGAGGGGTTTGGGTCTCTTTTACCGTTTGAGACTGTATTAGCTTCCACTGTGTCATAGTTCTTCACCTTGTATATGTGTCTGAATCTCTCAAAGAACTATAATGCTGACTACCTGGCATGTACAAACCAAATGAAAAACAAACAAATGAACAAACAAACCAAAAACCGCTTTCTAGACAACTGACAGGAAAAACAAAACAAAACTCTGAAGAGCTTCAAGAAAGGAAATGAAGTATCTTTCAGGCAAGGCTCTCTGCACCGGGAGGTACGGGGATGGGAACTAAAGATGAAGAAAAAACTACAATTCCCAGAAGGCCATTTTAGAGTTCAGCATTGCGCACGCGCGGGCCACGCCCCTTTAAGTCGGACCTCACGGGGGTATTTTTCTCGCGCGTGCGCTCTAAAAGCAGTCGGCTCCGACCCCGTTACTACACCGATCCAGAGTTGGTGGCTGGTCCTTCTGTGACCTCTGGTAGCGATGGTACCCTTCTCTTTGCTTTGGACCACTCGGGTAAGAACAGGGTTCCGGGTACCAGTGGAAAGGCGCACCCGACTTTCGTTCCTTTGCACACAGTGGGGTTCCCTGGCTCCTTTCCGCACGTGGTCTGGGGCCTGGGGGAGCATCGGATGCTTTACCAGGAAATCCCTGAGACTCCTGGCCACACGTGTGGTGCCTGTGCCCCTAGTTCTGGCGATCTGTGCTCGCCCTCACACGGCTCTTGAGGTAACTGTTCGCAGACCCGGTGTTAGCAGTATCCTAGCGAACAGGTGGGGTTCCCGGCTTCGATTAGCTAGTTGAAAATTTCCCGCCAGCTCTGAGCTATGGAGATGATGCAACCGAGCCTCAGTGCTTTCATCAGGCAGGGGTCCCGGTGCTGTGTGGGCAGGAAGGAGGTGGCGGGGTGCTCGCGTGTGTATGAAAATTAAGATTTCTGGTTTCCCTTAAGGCAAACACCTTCACCGTACCCCTGCCAGTACACACCTCTTTCCAAGAGCTGCTTAAAAACCCACTCTCCTACTTTCGTTGCTTTGGAAACTATCCTTCCAGCCTGTGGCGTTAAATCCCTGTTAACTTGGTGTCTTCTCTCATGGGGGTATTCATTTATGGAGGCTCTGCAGGAAGTCCTGCGTATATGTATGTGCACCACATACATGCCTGGGTACCCACAGAGGTCAGAAGAGGGCATCAGATCTCCTGGAACTGGAGTTGCAGATGGTTGTCAGCCGCCACGTGGGTGCTGGGAGCTGAACCGCTGCCCTCTACGTGAGCAGTCAGTGCTCTTAACTGCTGAGCCATCCCTCTAGGCACAGGGCGGCCCTTTTGTTGTTCCTGTGTGTGGGGAGACTGGGACCTCAGTGTCTCCTCCTGAATTTGGGGGTCTTGGGCCCTTGGAGGACAAGCATTGTGCTGTGACTTTGCAGTCACTCAGGGTGGTGTGGAGGGAGATTTAGAGGTATGGGGGTGGGGGGGCATTGAGTAGAGCTGATCAAAACCGCCCTTTGGATTGTGACCTGAACCTTGACTCCAGAGCTGGCTTTTCAAGGTGAAGGTGGGGGTGGTGAGGCCTCACTGCTGGCTGGACCAGGCTGCCTGCGCAGTCGGCTCTCTACCCCTGGTTTGACAATTTTTAATTAAGCCTGGCTTTTCTACCTTGAGCCTCTGCAGAGATGGGGTCAGCTGGTCGGGATGGCTGCTCGGGCACAGCACAGCAAGGTGGCCCAGACACAGGCTGGGGAAGCAGCTGGAGGCTGGACAGGCCAGGAGAGTTTATCAGACAGTGACCCTGAGATGTGGGAGCTACTGCAGAAAGAGAAGGACAGACAGTGTCGTGGCCTGGAGCTCATCGCCTCAGAGGTAGGACATGAGGATATGGGCCAAAGAGCAAAATACTGTGAGTGCAGGGGATAACCTGTCATTTCTCCACATCTCCCTGTCAGCCTCAGCAGCTTTGTCCTGGGCCTTGTCCCTCTCTTTATGCTTTTCCTCTGAAGCGTGAAGCAGGGCCAATCCAGTCTCTGGGGCTTGAGCACTAGGGCACTTCTAGGGTTCATATAGTTTCATTTCTTCCTTACCTCCCTTTCCTGTCAGAAGAAAGAGGAGCCCAGAAACACCGGTTGGGTGTCCAGGTGGCCTGACAGATCACCTGTCATGGCAGCCGAGCTTTTGAGGATGTGGCTTCTGGTCCTGCCTCATGCCTGGCAAGGAACCCAGAGCTTTCCATGCAGCCTGTCTCCCCCTGCAGCCTGTGGGCTCTGGCAGGGTGGGGCTGTGGGAGTCCATGGGTGGGGGGGCTCACTGCCTTCTGACGTTGCCCCCCCACCACCCCAGAACTTCTGCAGCCGAGCTGCGCTGGAGGCCCTGGGGTCCTGTCTGAACAACAAGTACTCGGAGGGTTATCCTGGCAAGAGGTGAGGGCTAGAGGGCAGCAGCAGGGATGGCACTCCCAATGGCGGACCTTCTTGAATCCTGTTGGTGTTTATGGAGCAGTGGCTGCCCAGTCCTTTGCTGCTGGTCAAGGGTCCTTTCTCTGTGCCCTTATGTACCCTCTCCGTGGCAGATATTATGGAGGAGCAGAAGTTGTGGACGAAATCGAGCTGCTGTGCCAGCGCCGGGCCCTGGAGGCCTTTGACCTGGACCCTGCCCAGTGGGGAGTCAATGTGCAGCCTTACTCGGGCTCCCCGGCCAATTTGGCTGCCTATACAGCCCTCCTTCAGCCTCATGACCGAATCATGGGGCTGGACCTGCCCGACGGGGGCCAGTGAGTATCGATGCGATGGGTGTTGGATTTGGAGGGCAGCAGTGACTCAGGGATAGGAGTTGCTTAGCGAGTGCTTATTAGGTCCCGGGCAAATGACCCACACCTGTCCAGTGCTCCAGTGGAGGAGCGCAAGGCCCTCCTACCCAGCGTTGGGTGGGCTAGAATCCGTGTGCCAGGGGCAGGCCTGTAGAGGTGGCTGGAAGCAGCCGGGTAAATCAGGCTGGACCACTTGGAGGCTCTTTCTTTCTAGCCTCACCCATGGCTACATGTCTGATGTCAAGCGGGTCTCTGCCACATCCATTTTCTTTGAGTCCATGCCGTATAAGCTCAATGTAAGTGTTCTGGGACCTGGGTACTTGGCCAGTGGGAGTGGCTGGAGCTCTGGGCAGTCCACAGCCTCAAGGAACATGAGCAGCACTGCTTCCACTTCCGGGCTTTAGCCGATTCTCTGTCTGTCCAGCCCCAGACTGGCCTCATTGACTACGACCAGCTGGCATTGACCGCTCGGCTCTTCCGACCACGGCTCATCATAGCTGGCACTAGCGCCTATGCCCGCCTCATTGACTATGCCCGCATGAGAGAGGTTGGTGAGGGACTGGAGAGCAAACACTCCCCTACCCTGGGGGTGGGGAAGGACAGCTGCCCTGTATATACCTATTTGGGCCTTCTCTAGGCTGAGACCTTGTCTCCCTATCCGCCCAGGTGTGTGATGAGGTCAAGGCACACCTGCTGGCAGACATGGCCCATATCAGTGGCCTGGTGGCAGCCAAGGTGATCCCCTCACCTTTCAAGTATGCTGACATTGTCACCACCACCGCTCACAAGACTCTTCGAGGGGCCAGGTCAGAACGTTTGGGGGGTTGGAGCTTGTTAGGGGGCTGGGGGCAGAATGAGGCTGGTCCCTTCTGCCACTGGAATCCAGTGCAGCAAACATAATTGAGGGGACTCGGAGGCTGTCCGCGCCTAAGCCAGCCATCTTCCTCTTTCCCCATTACTTGCCCTTCATCTCAGAGTCTGACCACTTGTGTTCCACATAGGTCAGGACTCATCTTTTACCGGAAGGGAGTGCGGACTGTGGACCCCAAGACTGGCCAAGAGATCCCTTATACTTTTGAGGACCAAATCAACTTCGCTGTGTTCCCATCCTTACAGGGGGGCCCCCACAACCATGCCATTGCTGCAGTAGCAGTGGCCCTCAAGCAGGTTGGGGAGCCTTCCTTGTGTCGGGGTGCACTGGTCCAGAGGTTCTGCTTCCTCACCTCGTAGCTAAGGCTGAGATGGTGGAAGGGAAATGGCTCCGGTGGGAGGCGGTAAGGCTGGGGTCACAGAGTCTCGCTCAGTACCAGACGGGCCTTCATTCAGCCCTGGGGTGACGGGTGTGACTGTCTCATCTATAGGCCTGTACCCCCATGTTCCGAGAGTACTCCTTACAAGTGTTGAAGAATGCTCAGGCCATGGCCGATGCTTTGCTGAAGCGAGGCTACTCACTGGTGTCTGGTAAGCTGTGGGGTGGGTGAAGGCCTTTGTGGCCTCAGGCAAAGGTCCGGGACTCCCCAGTGCCCTATCACTGTCCCCCTTAGGTGGCACTGACACCCACCTGGTGTTGGTGGACCTGCGGCCCAAGGGCTTGGATGGAGCCCGAGCTGAGCGTGTGTTGGAGCTCATGTCCATCACAGCCAACAAGAACACCTGTCCTGGAGACCGGAGTGCCATTACTCCCGGGGGCCTGAGGCTTGGTGAGACCTGGGGTTTGAGGAGGGGAGTGTTCCCCACACCGGGTGGTTACCCAGTGGCCTTGGCTATGCTAACTATCTGTCTTCCTCTGTCTCCCAGGGGCCCCGGCATTGACTTCTCGGCAATTCCGAGAGGATGACTTCCGTAGGGTGGTTGATTTCATCGACAAAGGAGTCAACATTGGCTTGGAGGTGAAGCGCAAGACTGGTGAGTGGCTCCAAAGTCCACAGCCAACAAGTCCTCAGCCAGTGTAGGTCCCCTCCCCTGCTGCTCCAGCTCATGGCCTAGGGCCCTGTGGGCAGCACTGTGACTCTCTTTTCACTGTTCTCAGCCAAGCTCCAGGATTTCAAATCCTTCCTACTCAAGGACCCAGAAACAAGTCAGCGTTTGGCCAAACTCCGGCAACAGGTGGAACAGTTTGCCAGGGCCTTCCCGATGCCTGGATTTGATGAACACTGAGGGCGCCTGGCGGTCAAGGCCAACAGACTGGAAGTGACCCTTCTTTCTGCCTACCTGGACCGCAAATGAGACGGCTCTGATCTTTCTGGGTTTTAGTGGAAGGAGGATGGCCTTCCATTTAGGAGAAGAGCCAGGCATAAACTCCCTTCCAGAATTTGTAGCTGAGATTTCTGTTTTGTAACCATATCTACAAGAAACACCCAACATACATCCAGCTCGTTTTTGAGATGGGCTCTCACTTAGCTGAGGCTGGCCTGGAACTAGTCCTCCTACCTCCACTTCCCAAGTGCTGGGGTCATAGCTATGTACCACCACACCCAAACTTACCCTCAGCTCTCTGCCCCCACCGACCGACCCTCTGCCAGATCTCAGTGTTGCAGACCCCCTCCCGAAGGGGAGGGGGAGTTGTGTGCTGAGCCAGAGAAAGGAGTGGGCAAACGTCCTCCTTCCTGTTTTTATCTAATAAAATGCTAAGCTGCCCAGGGTTGCTATTAGTGTAGGAGGGCTCCCCTGGGCCAGCCAGCGATTGGACTCCCTCAACATGTATTTCTCCTTCCCTCCCACTACCACAAGGACCCCCGGGGCTGTAGCCTCCTCTTCTCTGTCTCTGATCAGAGTCGACACCAGGCGTGATTAGCAGGCGCAGCAAATTCAATTTGTTAAATGAAATTGTATTTTGCCCACGGCTGCCTCTGTTTGATCCCCAGGGACAGAGGAGCAAGGGAAGGGAGGGGTGAGGAAGGCCCAGGTGCAAGGTGGGAGGGGGTGTCATTGATGGGAGGCAGCAGGCTTGGACAGGAAAGAGGTGCTCTGCGTGGTAGAGGGACCCCATTCTGGGCAGGCTGGTAGCCAGGATGAGCCCAGGCAGCCACCGCCCCGTAGACCTTGTTCAAAACTTGCAGTAACCGTGGCAGCGACAGGCCCCACGTCCCTTGGCACTCAGGCCCCTGCTTGCTGCTGGCACACGTCAGACACGCTCAACACGTAGCCCGTGCCACGCCCAGCCCAGGCTTTGGGGGCGGGGAGGGGAGGAGAGGGGAGTTGGCCTAGCCTTTTTGGTCAATCCCCACTGTTGCTTACAGTTTGACTCCCCTCCCCCACGTGGGATTTAAGCTGAGGGTCAGAAGCTCTTCCTGTACTGGGAGCAAGGGAGGAGGGTGGGGGTGGAGCCGCCTCCCCTCTTCGTGGGAATCCAGCCTGTGTAAGCAGAGGCTGGACTGTGTTGCTAGCCTGGCGCCCCAGGGTCTGCGGCAGGGAAGAGTGATCTGTAGGGAACCTTTGGGCGCTGGCTTAGAAGTCGGGCCGGTCCTTCTTCAGCTTCTTGTAGTCGGTGGAAACAGCGAGGAACTGCGGAGATGGACAGGGCAGTCGGAGCATCTCTTACCTCCCTTTTGTTGTATGTTTGGGGGTATAGAGCTAGGGACTCGGGGAAGTGGAGAGGAACAGTGTAGGTCTGTAGAGTTACCTTGTACTGGTCATTGGGGCTCATGCGGTTCCAGGGCTCTGGGTTCTTTCTGTCCCAGCTGTGAAGGGGACAGGAGGCTTAGGGTCTCTTTCTGGGGAACCAGGACTCTGGCATTAAACACTGAATGCAGAGTCCCTGGTTTCCTACTCTGGGGAGGGGAACACATTTCCTAGAGACTGACAGAGAAGGGCACGTGTGTCAGCAGGTGCTGACAAGAAGCCTGGCATCTGATGACAGAATGGCAGCCTAGTTTATAGATTGCCCAGGGTTCCTCGCCTCCCTAGTTTAACCACTCAGCAGAGTTGTGGGAATCAGGCAGAAATCCTGAAGGATGGGGCTTCAGTGATGTGCCTCACACTTCAGGGGCAGAGGGAGTGCATGGTTTGGCCTTTTACTTGACAAAGGAAGCCCTGGTGCCTCCAGCAGGACATGAAGCCTCAGTACCACCAAAGACCCTCAGTAGCCCCACAACTGCCAGGCCTCCAGCACTTTCTGGGCAGGCACAAGTACCTAAAAGCCAGATGTGGCCAGTAGAGCTGTGTCACCATGGCAACCCTGTAGCGAGCTGCTGGGATTCCAGCTGCCCCTTGTGTCTGGCTACCAGGTGGTCCAGTCAGGGGCCACCCCAGCCCTCCAAAATGCTGGGTGGTACAGTGGAAATAAGGACATAAAGACCTCTTCTAGGGCTGCCCACCGTTACCTGAGCCCTCCCATTTTGCTCCACCCAGGATGGACCCCGCTCGCCTCCCAAGACCTGTAGTTACCAGACATCGGGGCTGCGAAGGGCCAACCGCAGCAAGTAGAATCCAGCACTGCCCATGCCCAAGCAGATGAAGCCAATCATCGGGATGAGCTGCAGAGAGACCAGGCACCCTTAGGGCTGACCTCTGCCCTGCTAGTGTTCTGTCACTTTCACCGGCCACCTTCCCACACCTTCAGAATACTCCTTTACCCTGAAGTGCTTCTGTCTGTTCACGGCAAGGTTGCAGGGGCATGGGGTACATTGTGGGGATAGGATGTGGAATGTCCCTGGGGAGATTAGGGAGCATTAAGGAAACCAAACAGAAAGCAGGGTTTGTTGGTGGGGGCGGACTTGAGAGATGGGGTGACAAGAGGGGAGCTAGGCTCTGGGGACTGACTTACCCCAGGGTGTCTCTTTATCTGCCTGTAGAAGCGGGCTCCTAGACTGGTTCCTGCCATCTTGTTTCAGTGTCTGGGCTTTTGGGGTGGATCAGCTCTCTTCCTTCCCCTAGGGTCCCGCCCCCGTCGGGGAGGGGTCAGCCCAGCCACACCCTACTTGTTTCCTCCCTACGCTTTGAGGTCCAAAGCCGGGAGCTTTGGGGTTTCTCCTCTGAAACTCTGGGAACCCTGGCCCATGAGACACCATTGCACCTGAGGGAGAAGCCTCTCTGGCACCCAGAGACTTAAGGGGGATCCAGATGTGGGACAGTCAGGCAAACAGCCTTCTAACAAAATGGGGGTGTGGAGTGTCCACTGGAGGGACCAGGAAGCCAGAAGGGCATCTGCAGTGCTTTCTGCACAGCCCCTGGAGCCCTGGGGAGCCAACAGGCTGGTAGGAGAGACAAATGAGCAGCATCTGTGCTGCCAACCCCTCTCCAGGCAGCTTTACTGGGTTGTGCTTGGCCCAGAGTCCTTGGAAGTGGAGGTGTGTGGGTCTCTGCACTGCTTAGATGTAAGACAACCACTATGGTAGCATAGGGGCTTGAGATGAAGAAGACAGAGCTCTTCAAGGAGAACAGCATACTCATCCCTGGCTTTGGGACTAGAGGAAGAGCTCTGAATGGAGGAAGCAGCCGCACAAAGCTTGAAGAGAGCCATGCACAGTGGCACACGCCTGTAATCCTAGCACTTGGGGAGGCAGACAGAGACAGGCAGATCTCTAAGTCTGCTGCCAACCTTGACTACAAAGCCAAGGTTACACAGAGAACCCTGTCTCAAAAAAACCAAAAACCAAAACAAAACAAAAAAGCTGGAAAAGATGTTGAAATATGGAAGAGAAAAGCCAAGTCAAGTATATGCTATATTGCCACGGCAGAAAGTTTCCCCAACCCTCCATCCTTGGAGGACTGGTTTTGGAGGACTGGTTTTGGGGACACAGGAGATGAGCCTTTTTTTCTCTTTACTGCCATATTAATTTCCATCACTCCCTCCCACAAGCTCCCCCATATCTCCCCCAAAGAACTTGTCCTCTGTTGGGCCCCTGCTGGGATGAGCTAGGTACCCGCCCCTGCCTCCCTGGGGTACAGGGAGGAAGACAACCCTTTCTGAGGGGCCCCTCCCTTTCTTACACAGGGATACCTCGCCCGCCCCTTGAGCTGACAAGCTCTGCTGTAATTAGGCTGCGGGGTCCAGGCTCTCCGCCTCCCTCCGGCGGATAATGAGATAAAGTGTCAGAGACATGGCGAGAACAAAGAGACAGAGACTCACTGAGATGTGTGTGGGGGTGGGGTAGGGCAGAGGAGGGGGACTGATGGGATGTCAGAGCCTGGAGCGGAGCAGGGCCCTGCCGGCGTCCACACCTCTGGGGCTGGGCCACGGAGGGTGTGTCCAGTGAGCGCCCCTGCGCCTGCACGGCTAGGGGTGGTGGTGGTAAATAGCAATCTTAGAGCTCAAGCTCCAGCAGCTGCCCAGCTGGGCTGCACATCTGGTACTCTGTGGCACAGCTGGGGAGTCAGGGCTCCGGGAGGGACGTCTGGCCCTTGCTTTAGGCCCCGTTGCTCTTGGGCCCTCTCTTGCCTGGTTCCCGATGACCTAGGCTTGGAGACCCCCAGAGCCTCTCAGTCTTGGAACCTTTTCTCCTCCTTTGGGTCCCTAGTCCGCTCTGAAGCTCAGCTGTTACATTGTTGCTGCGGCTCTTGGCTCTCCAAGATTTCTCGACGCTCCCCCTGCTCCTGAGTGTTCCCAAACCTGCATCGTGGTCTTTGGGGTTCCAGGTCTCTCACGCCACCTTCTTCCTTACACTTTACCCCTAAAATAACTCAGGCCATGCTGGTCCGGTAGACGAGGGAGGGACAGCGGGAGTCGTTAGCCGAGGATTTGGCGCGACCCGTGGTCCCAGGGGGAGCAGACTCTTCAACTCTAAACCACTCCGGGATATTAATCCGTGAGGCTGGCGGCGCAGCAAGTCAAGGGCAGCTGGGCTCTCCGGAGCGAGCAGATTGCCGGGGTCCGTGGGTGCCGGCGCCCTCTGGAGGCCGAGCTGCTCTCAAGCTCGGGGAAGAGGTCTGGGGTTCCCCCTGTCGGGCAGCGCCTGCTCTGCATTTCCCATGTTTGCTCGAGTTAAGTCTGCGCCCGGAGTGTGCATACAGGTAGGTCTGTGCCTGGTGACTCACTCATGCAACCAAGGTAGTGGGGTCCCTCAGCCTCCACTCTTCTGGCGTGGGCAGAGGACATACACGGGACGTAGAAGACTCTCACCAGGTGCCGGCGGCATCCGGGTTCAGGCTGGGTCCTCAGACACCCTGGGCTTCATCTCTGCTCTTACCGGACTTCCTCCGACCTGCCTCCGCCGAGCCCCTGCTTGTCACTCTTCCCTCTCCTTTCTTCAGACTGTCTCTACCTTTGTGTCTTTAGGTGTGTCTGTGCCTCTCTTTGCCACTCTGCTCTCAACCTAGCGGTATCTTTCTGTGTGTCTCTGCCAGTTTCTCTTTCCCTCTACACTTCTCTACCTTGCTGTGGCCTCTCTGCAAATCTCTCTCTCTCTCTCTCTCTCTCTCTCTCTCTCTCTCTCTCTCTCCCTCTCCCTCTCCACCACCCACTCTTCTTGAGCTCTGTTTCTATTCTGTGGCTTAGTACTTGTCCCCGGGGAGCTGCAGCAACCCAATAGAACAGCCCGCGGACACCCTGGGGCACTGCTCAGGGTCCCCCTCCCCGCGCCTTCCGCAGTCCTGTCACCTCGCAGCGGCCTCTGTCTTCCCGCTGCAGCTGAGGTACTAGAGAGGGCGCCCGAGAGGGGAGCCACAATGCCCTGCATCTGCTCGGGAGCCCCGCGGGCCCTTGACCCCCCGCTGCCACTATTAAGGGCGCTGGGTCCTGAGGCTCTGAGATGATCATGATTGCATCAGCCAGACAGAAGCGGAGCCAGGAGCCTGGCGGCAAGCGGGCTAGCGAGCGAGACAAAGACGCCCGCGCCATCTGTTTATGTAAAGCGCTCACCGCCAGGGACCCTGGTGTCCCAGTGCCTTGCCCAGACCGGGGCACAGGGTCATGAACCCACTTCTGCCGGGGGCTCCCGCTACGCCTGGGCGTCCCCTCCTCCTCAGCAGCCAGGGGCCCACTGGGCGAGCAGAACAGGGAGGGGGCGGGGTGTTGATGTGATTGGAAGGGACGCGGCTGTTTCTTCAATAATGGATGGAGATGATGCGGACGGCGAGCCGGGCCGGGAAAGGAGAGAAGAATAGAATCGGGGAGGCAGAGAAGCGGGGGCGGGAGGCGCACGGGAACGCGCGCAGGCGGGGCGTCACACTGTCATTCGGGTACTTGCTGCCGCGCAGCTCACACCCAGGCCCACGCCCACGCACTGTCACCAAGACACACACCTGCAAGTGGAGACTCCAGAGCAGCGCTCTCTCTCTCTCTCTCTCTCTCTCTCTCTCTCTCTCTCTCTCTCTCACACACACACACACACACACACACACAGCGCGGCAGTGGCTCTTGATTTTCACACGTACGACTGTGAGACAGTGACGCCTGCATACGGGGCACATCCAGACTCCAAGAGCGCACAGACAGACACGTTGACGACATGTCAAAGCACGTTCGAAAGAACGCTGAATACACCTAGCCACCTTGGGACATATAGATGGAAATCACAGAGATGAGGGTTGGCAAACCGGGCAGTGTACACACAGAGGCACTGACAAAATCGGAACACACACAGGAACACACATCGCATTCCCAGACACATCTGTACCAGGAGCACGGAGAAGACCCTTCCACACTCACGCGAGGGGCTACACCCAAGCTGGAGCTGGAGCTGCCATTGGTGCCCTGCGGGGCTGGCTGTGTGAGAGCGGTCCCTGGGGCCCTCAGAGCAGCCCTTGTTAGCCCAGCAGTGTAATGAGGATGTGGTGACAGGCGGTGCCCGGGGCTGTGGACTCTGAGGCCTGTGGCCCCTGCTTGATTGGCTCCCACAATTTCTTCTCAGGCCTTCAGTCCTCAGGCTGCCCCTGCTGCAACAGTTCAGGTGGCTCTGACAGCCCCAACTTAAGCACTTGAGAGGGAAGGTGATGGCTGGTAGGACACAATCAACAGCCCTAGGAGATTCCTAGTAGCCCCAGCTGAGGTGAGGTGAGAGAGAAGACAGGGTCAGTCTGTACCTCACCTCCTCAGGCATGCTGCCCAATCATCAAAAAGAAAGGTTTTGTTTGTTTTTAATAGCAATTAGAACCTGGAGAGGGGTGGGTGGCATTGTATCCTGGACCCTATAATACCCTGGCCCTCCCTCTGATCTGTTTTCAATTCAGTCTGCTCCTTGGCCCAGACTTATGACCTTTGCGGCGTGTGGCAGCGTCATCCATCACCGGGCAGCCGGCTCGTGGGAGTGGGGGGCACTGGAGGCCAAACAGTATCCCTGTCATATCTCCTGCCCTCTCCTGGGACTGACCAGGGCCCAACTCAACCGGCAGGATACTGAGGGGAAGGCTGTGATTACTGGGTTCAATCAAGACACTATTCTCCACCCCTTGGGCTCCAGGACCCCTCCTTCCAGTTAGGCACAGCCCTTCTCCCCGCTCCTCCCACCCCCCTTCTCTTGGGCCTTTGCTTAATTTCCTATTAACTGCTGATAAATCCAATTAAACCGCCGCTCTAATTAGGGACAGCTGCCGGCTCGGTAAGGCGAGGGGAAAGGGGGGGCACCCTGCGAGATAGGGAGAGAACAGCCGTTCTCCCTGCTCCTCGACACCCCTACACCAACACTGCCGCCCAATGAGCCAGTAAATTGGTTTTGCTTCAGTATTTTTGGGGGCTCTTGACAGTCCCGGGGGAAATGCGCTCGGGTGTTTGAATCCCTCAGACCGCTTGGTGAATACAGGCAATTGGCACCCTCGTCCTCCCTCCCCTCGCTTCTGGTAGGTGGATTTGGTGAAGGGATGGGGCAAAAGGTTGACTTGTGTGTTTTGGGGGTGTGTGCATTTGCCTGTGGTCTGCCCCTGTTCCAGCCTAGTCATGATAAAAAGGGGGACTGTCCAAATGGTTCTCTAAGGCCCTGGCCCTCACACTGCCAGACTTCCAGAAGCGACAGTCAAGGGCAA